AGGAATAATTGCAGTCTCAGCTCTGGTCCAGGGGGCTTGGGGAAGGCAGGGTCACTCCACCCGCACTAGGAAACAAGCTTGACCGCAGCTACGTACGGACCAACACACGCTGGGGTTTTACCACCCAGGCGACCACTCGCCGGTCGCTATCTGGCGTATCTTGGCCATCAGGCAGCACACGGCCAGCTCCCAGCAGACCTCCACGCAGGAGGCGTGCCACGCTGCCAGGAACTTTAGGTGGAGTGCAACTCTTGCCCTAGCAGCCAGCAAGAGATCAGAGATGGAAAGGGGCTCCTTCATCCCAGCCCAGCCCAGTCCAGTGAAGTGAGGCAGCACCAAGCCCCCTGCCGCCTCCGTTAGGCCTTTGCTCCCCTCCTGCCGAGCTCGGCAAAGAGCAGCACTGGCAAAAGGAACAGCCAGGGCTACACACGGATTCCCAATCCACAGCAAGGCTGTCCCAGCCAGCCCAAAGACCACCAACCACCCGTTTCGGTGGGCAGGACGTGCCTGCTTCTCACCTGCACTCTCAGCGTCTCGATGTAGTTTGTCCCGTAAGCCCGGCGCGTGAAGTCCGACAGGTTGAACTGGATTTGGTTCCAGCCATCGTCCAGCCGCATGGGCATCGTGCAGATGAAGGGCTTCACCCGAGTTGTGCTCTGGTAGTTACTTGCCCGGAAACGCCGCCGTACATTCTTATCATCTAGCACCTGGGGCAAGGAAGGCAGGCTGCTGACCCAGGCGCCAGGGCCCCCGGCTCCCTCGACAGCAGCTGCTCTGGGCTCAGGCTCTACCTGTCTCCGAGAGAGGACCCTCCTGCTCCCACCCCTCCATTTCACAGCAGAAGTATTTTTAACCCAGGACACAGATCCATTTTCAGCAGCAGCATCGACGTGCTTGTGAGCTGACTGATGCCCCCGTAGCAGAAGACCCGACACGTCACAAGGCCAAGAAAGAAAAACTGTCTTGGGGACCACTCGCTGCCTGGGACAAGTTCAGATGCAAGACCGTGGGCTCCCCCGGCACCTTCCTCCACCGTCCTGCGAGGGGCCTTCCCACTGCACACTCCTCACCTGCACTTCAAAAGTGAAGTATTTCTTCAGGTTCTTTATGATCATCACTAGGAAAGGCAGTTTGATGCCCAGGGTCTTCTTTGGGTCAGCAGGGCACGTGATGTACGTGGTACTGAAAGGGACAGAAAAACACTTGAGGATCTCCCATGGCACAAAACACGCAGCCTGAGCCCCAAAACTCTCCCTTGACCTAATGCGCTCTTGGAGGACAGGCAGGAAAAAAAAAGACAGCTGAGATCATAATATCCCAGCAACAACCACTGTTTCCCATAACAGGAGGGAGAGTTTCAGAGGTGGCTGCAGGGAGAACAAGACAAAAGGCCCAAAGAATCCGTCCTTTCTCACCCAGGGCACCATACACCTTCCTGGACAGTGTCACCTCCCCAGTTTCAAGGCCATGTCAGCGCTATTTCTTAGCACGACCTCCTCCTACCCTTGACTGAACAGGTAGAGCCCTCCAGAGCAAAGCAGAGGCCCTTTGGCTAAGAAGCAAGAGGTCCTGAGCCCCAGAAGTACACGTCACGCCTGGTAAGTTCTGTATCAACACATCCTGGGAGGAAGAGAAGCGCTGGCTCAGGCTGTTCGCTGAAGAAGAGTCTCTGCTGCCCTTATAAGGAGCGCCCTGCTCTGAATCACCCTGGAGAAGCCTTGGAGTCTCCGAACCCGCTCATGGAGCCGGCGTCTCTCTCCCCGGTCGATGGAGATGGGGTTGCTAAGTGAAGCCCCATAAGCAATTCCCTTCATAAATCTCCCTTTGATCTTCCTGCTGTCGGCAGAGCAGCAGCGCAGGCCTCAGACAATAAAAGATGCGGAAGGCAGCGCTGCTTCCTCAGGAACTGGCAACGCTAACTGGGGACTGGGTACCAAATACAGCTTTTTTTCCTCCCACTAATTGATGGAAATACAATGGGACTTCATTTTTATTTTTGATCCCTTCGCCCCACTGAGGATGACCAAGAGCTCACAAGCACGTCCAGGGAAACGCATAGTACAGTGCCGCGGGGTATCAGCGATCTGACCCCAGATCATATTCTTCAATTTATCACAGAAACACAGAATGGTTTGGGTTGGAAGGGCCCTTAGAGACCATCCAATTCCAAGCCCCCTGCCATGGGCAGGGACCCCTCCCACTAGCCCAGGTTGTCCAAAGCCTCATCCAGCCTGGCCTTGAACCCCTCCAGGGATGGGGCATCCACAGCTTCTCTGGGCACCCTGGGCCACTGCCTCACCCCCCGCACAGGAAAACATTTCTTCCTCACATCTCATCTCCATCTCCCCTCTTTCAGCTTAGACCCCTTCCCCCTCGTCCTGTCCCTGCCCCCCCTGATCCAGAGCCCCCCCATCTCTCCTGTAGCTCCCTTTCAGCACTGGGAGGCGGCTTATTGACAAAAGACTGCAGCAGAGTCTGAAGGAGACACCTGCTAGGCACCGACACCTTTCACTCCGCTCCAGGGCTGAGGCCCCAGGGCACACCAGGCACAAGAAAACATCTTCTCCTACCTGACATTAGTTCCTTCGATCTCCAGCACCAGCGACTGAATGTCATTGTCAGTGATTCGCTTGATGTGGCCGTTGCGCACCTGGAAGAAAAGGAGGGCACAGGTGTTACTTGAGAGGGAAACAAGAGGCTCCCTTGAGAAGGGGGAGAAAGACTCCAGGAGGACACTTCTGTGGTCACTTGGCTCCTGTTGTCCTGGACGTCGCTGTCTCCAAGGCTTTGATCACCACCCCAGAGCGCCAGGACTCCAAGCAAGAGTCTGTGGCCCGGCACACTGCACGATTCGATCTATCGACACACGCTGCAGCGAACACAAGTGACTCCAGCCTCGTGTTAGATGCCCAAAGAAACAAACAGAAAAGCCTCAGAGCAAGATCAAACTAGAGTGGGATAAGGGTAAAAAGAAATCGCAGCAATGCAGGGGCAAGAGCAGGAGCAGAGGAGAGCTTGGGCAAAGCTCTTCACAAACACAGCGCATGCAAGCGCAGAGCCATCATCTGCTCTGCTGAGGGACACACGGATGTGGCAACTCGGACGCAGCCAGCTCCCCGCAGAGCTCAGGGAGGCCAGTGCTGGAACCAGGAGCCAACACAAATTCATTTTGCTCCGCAAGCAACATGGCCGAATCCCAGGCTCCGAGGATTTATTTCTTTAATGAAGCTGCTCACTTCCCATCAAATTTTTCTCCATTGCTTTTTGCTAATCAGGGCCTCTGCCTTTCCCCAGTGCTACACCAGCAAATTGCAACGCTCCTTCCGCCTCCACGAATTAATTTCTTTAGTACCTCTCACTGCTGCTAATAGATAGGATACATTAAGCGTCTAATGGGATGGTTCTAGTCACCAGCTACAAGATGATTTACAGGTTTGGCAATTCATCTTCAAAGTTCATTTCTTCAGAGGGACCCACCTGGGTGATGTTGAACACATTTGCTGGAAGAAAGAGATCAGCCCTGGGAGCAGCCCACCCCCCGGCCTGTCTCTCCACTAAGCACTGGCAAGAAACCTCAGCCTGGATCACCCAGCTGCTGCTGGCAGGCGTGAGCGCAGCTGCCCCGCCAGGCTGCTCTGAACTCTGCTTTGAGCCTGCACGGGTCCTTCCAGAAAACACGGAGCTCTGAGAGAGGATTCTTACATGATACCCGTATCTCTCCTCTGCATGAAATGCACCCTTGTGGATGTACAGGTCTGCTCAGGAGGAACCAATGCACGAGGTCTGGATGAGGTTTGGGTTTTCGGGTCATCTTGGGGGGGCTTTTGTTTACATCACCAGCCCAGCAGAAGCCCCACGTGCCTCTCTGTATTTGAAGCAGCGGTTGACATACGGGAAATTAAATCCTGGAAGCCCCAGGGATACAGCACGCGGACTGAACAGCAGGAAATAACCCTGCCTAAGCAGGTGACAGCAGCGCACAGCAAAGCCTGCCTCCACGCCACGAAAGGCAGCTTTCACCAGGGGTAGCTTATGGCTCCACAGAGGGGAGAAGGTTCAGGTTTGGGCTTCTCTGGAGGGGACAAGAAATGAGAAAACAGACAAACTTGCTTTAAACCAAGTAGCCAGCAGTGTTTCTCTCTGCAACCAAGTCCCCTTCCTCAGCCTGGGAAGGTTTGCCTTCCCCAGACTACAGGGACAACAAGAAGAAGCAACTCTTCTTCCTCAGCATTGCCAGAACCGCAACAAAAGACAGCAGAAAAGAGACGAGAGAAGTACAAACCGGCCAGACTGTGGCAGAGCCCTTCCTCCCAGTCCTGCCTGGGTCGGGAGGAGTTCTTGGGAGCTGCACTAATGCCCAGCTGCAGGGAGATGGTGGCCAGGTCGTGCGGGCGCCCTTCTGCATAAACCAGCCTGTCTGCACGGACGTGCTGCTGGCGTTGGCAGGACAGACATGCAGACACGGGGGCAGGACATCCAGCACCGGCAAACCAGCCTGTCTGCACGGACGTGCTGCCGGCGTTGGCAGGACAGACACGCAGACACAGGGGCAGGACATCCAGCACTGCCTGCATCAGAAGTCCCAGCAGCCTCCCCGTTTCGGCAAGATGAGGCTGAATGCCATCAGAAGGGCTGACCACCAACGGGGGCTCCAAGCGCTGCCTCTGGGACTTAGTGATGCCAAATGCCCCAGCTCAGCCCCTCGGCTCATCCAGAGCCCGGCTGCCCGCCCCAGGCTGAGCTCACCTCCTGCTCCACCAGCTCCCTAACAGAGGAAACACTTGGGCAGCTCTCCTCTTCTCCCGCCAGCTCTGGGCCTTCCTTCCCAACGGGCTCGCACAGACCAAAAGGCCATCTCCGGCACCATCGGGCACAGCCACCAGCTCTGCGCGGCGCAGGGCAGGAGGGACGGTCCTGCTGGGCTCGCAGGGGCTACGCAAGAGCTCCCAGTCTTCAGGGGCTTTCCCTTACCTCACAGCAGCTCAGAGGAGATTTCAGAACGTTTTTGGAATCTAAACAAGACACTCCACTTTTCTACTTGGCCAATATTTTCCAGCCATCTTAGGCCCAAGAAGGTGGATCTTTGAAGCCGGAACAAAACAGCAATAGTCCTCTTAGAAAATAACAGTTCTTCAAATGCCTGATCTCCTCTGAGTCACAGTCACTGGAAAGTTACCTGCTGTCTAAAGACAAACTGAAAAAGATTGGTTTTGCAGACGCAAGCTTCAAATCTCCCAGGGTCTGGAAGGAGCAGCAGCCCCGCAGACAGTTGTGTCTGCACATTGCTATGTCTCGAGGCTGCCGTCGCTGTTAGCAACGCCAGTCGAACGGAACGCAGACGGGAAGAAAAGCAGCAAGGAGCAACCCTCCCCAGGCCCAGCGCCCACCCGCTGGAGGACAGGATACCACGGTCCGAGGCCAGCCTCTGGAGGTTGGGTCCTGTATCGCTGCCAGCCGCCCCGACATCAGGCGATGGGCTCGTGCCAGCAACACCGAGCTGAAACACGGCAGAGATCTGCGGCCACCTGGACAAGGATGCTGGGCGAGAGAACAAGTCAGGGAAGGGCTTCAGGAGAGGACTTCATCCCGGCCACACTCCTCAGGGAAACTGCCATCTGCATCCTGGGGGCAGAGCACGCCTTTGGCATTCAGACGGGTATCAAACGCTCGCTGACCTGCCGTCCTCCCAACAGCATTTGAAATTGCCAACGATATTCTGTGCTGACGCACCAGCAGAAGGAAAATGGAGAAACTAGCAAGAGGATCGATGGCTTTGACAAGTTTCATCGAACCGTTCCCACGGGCTCTGCAGAAATGCGTCAGCGAGTCCCCTGGAGCCTGGTCTGCGTGTCTCCCCGTGTTGCTTGGGGACCATGGTGGCTGGACACCGCAGGAATAATCAGAGGACTCTGAACAACAAAATGCTGGAAGGCAAACAGAAACCACCTTGCAAACAGGTCGCCAAACCAGGCATGTGCAGTGCTGGAAGGCAGGAGAAGAGAGAGCAGCCCAGCAGTTACCGCCTCTCTTTGGACGAGGCTGAAGGAGGAACCTCTGCCTTGCAGGGACGGTGGGACAGCCCCCACACTCTTCCCGAGGCCTGGACACCTCAGTCCTGCCAGAGTCTCCTGGGACAGGATGCTGGTGGCCAAGACAGGGTTTGCTGCCAAGGCCTGCCCAGAGCTGACCCATAGCCCCTGAGGGGGGAGGGAGAGAAGGGAAGGATTGTATCCTGCTACTTAGGAGGAGGTTACAAATGCTCACAACAAGGAAAGGCTTCCAGTGTCCCATTTCTACACCTCCGTCAAATGAAGAAGTCTCTACTTCACGCTGTCTCCACCAGCACAAGGAGTGCACATCCTCCTAGGGCCAAAGAAAAAACCATTTTCCCCACGTCACAAAAGCTTGAGATTCCCCAAGATCTAAAACCAAAACTCACTGCCTGCTGGTCCTTTTTGCAAAGATGAGAGTCTCCACATTGGGACAGCTATGAAACCAGTAATTGGGGCATTCATCTCGGACATGGGTGAACATCAAACCACTTGTTTCCAGTTCTCACCAAAACTACAGGTGCATTTCATGTACCCCTGAGGAGAGCAGCGATCACTTCTTGCCAAGTTTTGGTTGCTCTCCCCTCTTCCAGAAACCCCAACCCTAACCCTCTCCTGTAGAGCTGGAGCATTCCTGGGATGGCTGGATTTGGACAGGTCAGTATTTGCCAATAAATTAACCCACTGCAAAAATCCCTCACCATTTCTGGACATTTACTCACTTCACAAAAGCACTGCCCATGCCAGATGCCTGCCTGCCCCTCTGCTGCTGGCCTGGCAGGTTCTTGCACGGAGCCAGACAGGCTTCATCTGCAGCTTAGCACCCAGCTCCCTGCTTGCAGCAGCCATTAGCACCCAAACCATCAGTGCCACTTCCCCACGCTGCAAGTCACAGAATCACAGAATCAGAGAATGTTAGAGATTGGAAGGGACCTCGAAAGATCATCCAGTCCAATCCCCCTGCCGGAGCAGGACACCCAGATCAGATCACACAGGAACGCATCCAGGCGGGCTTTGAATGTCTCCAGAGAAGGAGACTCCACACCCTCTCTGGGTAGCCTGTTCCAGCATCCCTGTGGGTCTTCCCACTGCCCAACACACGACTCAGCGGCACAAGCAAAACTTTCTGAAGGGGCTGAGCAGGGGAGATGACACCCGCACATGGTGGGGTAAAGACCCGAGGGACTCCTTTTTCTCAGCTCCAAGGCAGCGAGACGCCCTAAGGACTGCCCTTCTCCTCCCGCTGCTGCGAACGCACAAAAGGTGTTGGATTCCGAATCTATTAGAAACCCACCACCCCAGCTCCTTCTAAAAGGAAAAGCCAGGTGAAAAACGAGCCATGCTGATATCCACAGACAAAGAAGGCAGAAAGCCCACTCTGGTTTCACACCACACCCTTGTGAGCAGGGTGATCCTCACAACAAGCTCACCCTAGCTGGCCATGTTTCCTCAGGACAAACAGACCTCTGAGTGAGGAAGAGTACTCACATGCAGCGCTGCTGCTCACAAGGATGCAGGGCTGCTGCCACTGGGCAGTGCCAGAGGAGCCCAGCCACAAGCAAGCCCTACAGCAGGCGATGGAAACACCCTGCACACCACA